CGAGTTGTGTGTTAACAGTACAATAAAATGTTCAGGATGAGAAGAACTGATTTGACTCGCTAAAAGAACAAAGAGTAAACAAGAAAATACTAAAGCATGCAATAAGGGTACAAAAGAAAGTACCAAAAAGTGAAAAGGTAAAAATAATCCTAAAAGAGAAAGTAAACAACATGGTAGAATATAACGGTGCAAGTAGGTAAGAAGAAGGTATACACGATGACGTTTTTTAATAAGCCCAAATGTGTTAAGGTGATATTCGTGGGGGGTGGGTAAATAAATAAATAAATAATACCATGTTTTTAATTAAGGTGAACACCCACATCTCATCTGAAAGTCCGAAAGAGAGACAGTACGAGATTTCTTCAATTCCTATCTGGCAACCCTGAGCCGTGCCCTCCTTTGATGTGTTTCTTTACTTCCTCTGTCCGGGTGGAAAGCACCCAAACTTCAGCTCTGAGCTGCACGCGCCGCAGGTGCACAGCTGTGTTTTCCTTTGTCACGTCTGAGCGGGTAACTACGATATTTTACAGATCAGGTTTGGTCAATCTGGGCTCACATCGAAAGTGAAAGTACGCATTGCACGCAGTCAGTTTTTTTCCACGAATGACGGATAATGGAGTTCAACTACCCTGTATAAATAAATGTTGAGTGAATGAAAAAAAAATATTTATCATGCAGGAACACCCTGGAGCACAGAAAGGTAAACAAAACAACTAATTTATTACCGTAGTTGTAATACATATAAAAATGACATTAGTGGAGCTCCTTTCAGGTAAAATTTTCCTTTTAAAGACTACGTCCTAAGTGAATGATCTTACTTACCACGACAGATGTGAAGAGCAGGCAGGGAAAGAGTTTGACGCTCATGGCGGCTCTGTCAGCTGTCCCTGATGGTTTCACTCCACAGACCAGACTGGCTGCCTCTGTTTGTCACTTCAGGAGGAGCAGCCTGGGAGGAGCTGAAACGGCCTTTCACGTGATTTTCTTTCACCAAGATGTTTCCTGTAAACGCTAAAACTCCACAAAGTGTTTGCTGCTACGGTCTGGACTTCACAGAGACAGATGAGTGAGCAGCTGCAGTCAAAGTGTCAAACTAGACAGAGGCATGCTGTCATTCAGTGATTTAATACAGTTTTCATGGAACTGGCTCAGCTGATATTCAGCTTTATTTTAACCTGCAACACTTAAACACATGCTCTGACCATTTTCACCATCCATCCATTATCATTATCTTCAACTGGTAGAGCTGCTGCCTCTCAGCGAGCAGGTCCTTGGTTCAAACCCCAGTCCAGGGGCCTTTCGGGGTGGAGTTTGCATGTTCTCTCCATGCATGCGTGGGTTTTCTCCGGGTACTCCGGTTTCCTCCCACAGACCAAAAACATGCATGTTAGGCTGATTGTTAACTCTAAATTGTCCCTAGGTGTGAGTGAGAGAGTGAATGGTTTTTTGTCTCGTTTGTCTCTATGTGGCCCTGTGATGGACTTGCGACCCATCCAGGGTGTACCCCGCCCCTCGCACAGTGATTGCTGGACATGGGCACCAGCGACCCCCGTGACCCAAAATGGAATAAGCGGGTAAAGATAATGGATGGATGGATGAAGTATATATTTATATATATAAGAATATTTACTTTATATACATTATATACGTGGAGGCCTCCATGTTCAACTGTCCCCCTCTTACATTGCTGTTATTGCTAGTATCACTCAGTCCCCTGTGAATAGTAAACAGCCATCAGTGTGCTAATGATCCATCGTTAGGCTGATGGTCCTTCTTGATCATGTGAGCAGCTGGTTTTGGTTGTCCACAGCAAAACTGGTTGATCCAGGTCTGTTTTTTTTTTTTTTACTTTTTTTTTAGATAATCCAGGTATAGTTTATATATCCCAGGTCTAGTTTCTATATTCCAGGTGTAATTTCTATATTCCATGTGTAGTTTCTATATTCCATGCGTAGTTTCTATATTCCAGGTGCAGTTACTATTCCAGGTATAACAACAAAGTCCATGCTCAATAATCCAGGTATAAAATCCAACATTTTTCAGTCAGGTCATCTGAACAGTTTTCTTTTTTTTTTGTGCTTAAACATTTCGCCTTTGATCCGGAAGGCTTCATCAGTCAAGGAAACACACAACAAAACTGACTCTTCCCCCAACAGCTTACTCCAAAGTGGAACAAACCAGTTCTGCTTGTGATAAGATGGTTTCTTTGGTACGCCCCTCCTCCATTGCCGGCCCTCTTCCTTGTTGACAGTCTTGTCAAACTGGTTGAAAACAACAAAGTCCATGCTCAATAATCCAGGTATAAAATCCAACATTTTTCAGTCAGGTCATCTGGACAGTTTCTTTTTTTTTTTTTGTGCTGAATTATTTCGCCTTCAATCTGGAAGGCTTCATCAGTCAAGGAAACACGCAACAAAACTGTTTTTTCCCCCAACAGCTTATTCCAAAGTGGAACAAACCAGTTCTGCTTGTGATAAGATGGTCTCTTTGGTACGCCCCTCCTCCATTGCCGGCCCTCTTCCTTGTTGACAGACTTGTCAAACTGGTTGAAAACAACAAAGTCCATGCTCAAAAATCCAGATATAAAAGCCAACATTTTTCAGTCAGGTGTAAGGGGAAACAAAGTTCTCTACTCCTTTCCCCTGCCCGGATCATTTGCTCAGAAGGAACACACGTTTGTCAGCATTAAACAACATCTTTATTCTTACAGACTTCAAAATATGTAAACAAGAGAGAATTGTTTTATATTACCTGAATTCAGAGGCCTTCTGTACAATTCTGACGTGTCTCAAGGTTTTTCCAACATATATAGACTGTTTTCTCCACCCAGTGACATTTCCTGTTTTCAATTCCTGTCCAATAAACACCTTACAGACTCTCTGAAGTCCCCGTCTAATCTATCAGATACACTAGCTGTCATCTCTTTCCACTGAGTATATGACCCATAATCAGCACCAAGATGGTGATCAAAAGGGGGACTGTTGGGATTAAAAAAACCTTGGATGATAAATGGTGGAAAATAACATAATATGGATTGGTGAATATAAGGTTTCATTAAGAATTATGGAAAATAGATCATATAAAGATGGCTAGAATTTCTGTTAGATGTGGCCATAAGCCAATAATTAATATATTTTCAAGGACTGTTAACTTTAAAATCAAACCATGACACTGTCTGCTGTCAGTAGGAAAATAGTGACTTATTTCTAATGAGGCCGTTAATGACAAACAAAACATCAAAAAGGTTCTTCCTCAGGTAACTAAAGTTAAATAATAGTTCACATCATTTGACTATGTGTGGGGATTATAAAACAAGTAATGATGAGTAGCTTAATGGGTCAGAATGACTTTTGTAAGACGATAATTTAACAGGTTGCTGAGGGTGATTTTAAGATTCAATGTAAGCAAATAATAATAAGAAGACAGGTTTGCAAGGATAGCGGAGGTTGTCAGTAGTGTTAGTTAGTTAGAGATATTTTATTTTGCTTATCCAAAAAAGTTCAATCTGGTCCTCTGAACATTCAAAAAAACAAAAAACAAAACAAAGCAAAAAAATCTAGAAACGTTTCGTCTCTCATCCAAGAGACTTCCTCAG